GTAACGAATACTCAAACTGGCTAACTAAACTTGGCTGGGTGTTCGCTGGTTGGTATGCTATGATAAGAAGAAGACTATCGGGTTGTTCACTTGGAAGTGAACTCGTTACTTGTATCAAAGATGTCAAACTAATATGATAAGATTGATAACTAAGTTGAGCACGAAGCTCCTATCTAGTGGCAGACGTGCCAGTCCTATATAGAACCCTCATTCCCATGATCGCTGCTGGTCGCCGCGACTAAGACGACCTGGCCGTTGTAGTCGCTCGCGACCAAGCGACCACTACTGGTCACGTGATAACAATATAGAGAAATCCCTGGATCGCTTAGCTACTCCAAACGATCCCTATTTGCTATAAGAAACCTGGATGTGCCTGTCGAGGGTTGCGCCTCTTATTATGACAAGTATCACGTGAGAACGTGATTCGTGACACCTAGTACCCTATAATTAGTCTACTTTATAAATAGATCCTTTATAAATAACTCGGATATAACGTCTTAGCTTAGTTCGGTACTAGATATACTAATATTTTATACTAGAATTCGTTAAAGTATAAGAGAGTTACCCGAAGCGTTCTAGTATTAGAACTATACGCTTTAAGCTAGGGATATGATATAGCTATATACGTTAAAACTACCTTAATATAATACCTTAGTTATTATATTCTACTTCAAATATATACTAATTTAAAATCTATATTCGATTATATTACTAAGTTAGGAACTACTAAAGAGAAGAAGCTAATAATTAATATAATATACCTGTGAGAGGCCAGACCTTGAACAGCTCAAATGTGTGGTTTCGAATATTGAATTAAGAAGTGCGTGAAGACTACATACATGCGAGCTCTTCCTCTATATATAGAGAGAGGAAGAGCTTCCTGAATATTCCAAGAAACTTGCAAGAAACTTGAATTACGAATACATGTTGTCAGAAGAACAAAACAAGAATTTGTGGAATGGTGGAAACCTGTTTGGCGGTGGGGTAATGGCCAGTGCTAAGCGGGGACTTTGGTCAGTGCTTAGCGAGGGCATGGCCCGAGCCTCCATCATGGGTTCCAACCCTCACAATACCTACGTAATATATTTAAAACAAGAGATATTAACAATATCTCCTTAATAGAAGGAAAGGATAATCCGACTAATTTAATAACTAAATCAAAGTTAAATAGCACCTTAAAACGACTAATTGATATAAACTATATCGAGATTAATAGAGTCGGATAGGTAAAACGGGATTAAAGAGCGTACCATTTTGTTATTATTCTATTATTGTTTTTATAGTTGTTCGTAGAGTTATTTCGTACTTTGTTATTTACTATTTTTTTTAGCTATTTTAACTACTTTGTAAAGTGCACCGCATACTTCTGGGAGTCAAAACGTTCATTGCATGGAAACAATGCACTCCTAGTATTACGATATATCTACTACTTTTATTACGTGTATATCGGAAAGCTTAGTATATACAAGTACTTATAGCTAGTACTCGTCCTTTCCATAACATGAATCAATCAACTATTATACCTACTTTTATATGCTTTTGTTACTACTGTTTTAACCCTTATTTACGAGTATCTCTCGTACCAACAGAATTCCATCCCAGCCAAGAGGGATTCGAATCGAATATATTATCAAGTGTTCACCCGATAAAGGAATAGAGTTTTCGTGGGTTTTATCTATTCCAGGGTACGCTACCGAATAGAGTGCAATCTCCTAATTTGTGCGATATGCACCAAAAGACAATAGCAAGGGTGCGGTGGTAGGGAGATATGGTTGTTGTACCATGGTAAGTACTAATTGGTAAGCTAACTAAGGAAAAACTGTTCAAGTAATAGCGGCTCAAGAATGACCATCAGTACATTAAAGTATTCCCATTATCCATAGTATAAGATTACGATGGTCAGCAAAACCGCAAGAAAGGAGTTGGCAATAGCAAGAACGTTGAGGGGATTAGCAGTAATAATTATTCGGGATTGCAGACTCCACATTGTCCACGAGAAAATGACATACGTATTTGTTCCAAGCAACGATTAGAGCTTGGAGGTACCCAGTGGTGAACATATGTTCCCATTTGGCTGGGACTTATCTGCCTTGCGGCAGTGGTGCGTCATGAACTTCTCTTCTGTGAAGTCGCTGATTTGCGTCATGCTACCGTCATAAGTTAGCTGGTAACTTCTTGTTTCACTCTGGTCCCCTCTTTGGCTACAGTCAGATTGCATCGTCATGTCGGTGAGTAGAACATAATACCAAGTCACACTGTAATTATTCGGTACATATCCTTATGTTCTTTTTGCTTCTTATCAGGATAATTTAGTCGTGTAATTCTCCCTACTAATGTGATCGTCCCCGCCTCCCCCCCTCTTGGTCATACGTAGTTTGCGTACATAACAGAGTTTCCAGGTCTAATAATATTTCTCAGGCTGGAATTTATACAGCTCTGGTCGTACAAATATTTCAGAATTGAGTATTTGATGTCTCAATGGTTACTTCCAAGGATTCGAATTGTTTTATTTATGACAGGGACTTTGATTTTAGCAGTGTTTTTATTATTTCTTTTTGTGGCAAAGAGACAGCTGCAAAGAGATCTCCCAGGGCTCTGATGCCACTTTTATCCATTGGATCTCGACATGCTTATTGTTCATGAATCTTAATCGACTATAAGGCAGCGACTTTAGACTTACTTATCCCAGTAAAAGCTTCTGTAGTTCCTCCAGCTCAGGAGTATCATCTCGACTTGTTCGTTTCCATGTAGTTAGCAAGTTGAAATACTGAACCGCGTAGTCAATTCAAGATCTCCCCGTTGAAGCTGGGATTTCTGGAAACCTAACGTAGAATCCCATTTCTAAATGCACTGCGGGAGTCTTCCCAATTTGAAAATATTTCCAATCGACATGTGTGCAATTACTGTATGAATCAAGGCGTTGGCAGAGCAAATAGAGAACGCGGGTTGAGAAATATGAAAACCCTTTGGAAGACTTCATCACCTGTCGCCATTATCACCTACATACCCTTAGAGACCAAGATGTGGAAACAGGAAGTTTGCTTCCAAAAGAGAGTACAAGGACCAAGTCTGCAAATCATGTTCGAGATCTGTCCATGATGAACACCACTTGGCATTGCTTTCTTTTGGGCTTGAAAAACCGTAGGCATCTCCTGTTAGCTCTACCTCCAAACTAAGGAATTTGTATGAAACTTTGGGAATGGAGGAGGCATATATTTCATATACCTCAGGTCGAAATATTTCCAGTTACAGAAGCTTGTGGTTAAAATCTACACTACCGTGCCCTCAATTCATCATAAAATTAGGGAGTGTCACTACGTTTTCTGGCACCCATACAATCTTGAATCTCTATTCACGAAGTTTGAACTGCAAAAACGGAGTCTGGACATCCTGTCACGAAGATGGAAACATTTCCGCGATGCGATGCGCTCACGCGTAGCGTATATACGCTTTCCATCACTCCTGGGTGCTGAAATCGCGTGATGTGGGGTAATATCAACTTTTGACCAACAGTTTTCTCAGAGTTCTGGTACCGGTATCACTTATCAGCGCTCTTGCTTGTGACGCTGTTGAAATTCTCCGGGATTGACTTTTTAGTACGCAGGAGCCGGGCGCTTACAGTGGGTACTATGTACAGTCCCTTGACTCCCTTCACTTAATTAGCAAGAAAGTGTTGTGTATGCTTATACCTCTTCGTGCAGTTATGAATGTGTTGGTATTTTTTTTTCTACCAATATATAGCTTAATAGAGCACTTTTCAGCTTCTTACATTAATTACTTGGCCTTAGGATTAGGGCTAAATAGTAAAAAATTAGCGTAATACCCCTGGACTATACGTTAAGCTAAAAGTGCTAGAGCTTGCATAAATCTCTGTCTTCTTGCTAATCTTGGAATGGGGTTGTATATCTCTCTTTATTTTCAGTATGTTTACTTCTGGTTGAGATTTTCAAAATGGGAAGAGGAGTGATCCTCGTGGGAGAAGATATACTGGTTTAAATACAGCGCTGTGCATAACTAGCGTTACAAACTCGACTTTCGGGAACACTAAAAAAAAGTGCAAACGCGGAATCGAAAAATAGCTCCCCTTATATTAAATAACAACCACGCTTCTAGGGCTTTAGCCCTGCTGCAGGATTGTACTTTAGTATATTCTGAGTATGTACATCTACTTTTTATTTGCCCTAGGAGGACTGTTATTTCATAATTTAAGGGAGGCCGAAAGTCAGTTTTTGTGTCGGTCGCACGCTAAGACATAACCCCGCCATCCTCCCTCGCAGTCGCAGGAATCGACATTTTACCCCTTCTTAGATTATATAAGGGAACGCCCTATTATTATATAAAAATTTGATACACTTACTCAAAACATACTAAAGTATAGTTATATAGAAGGGCTAAAGCCCTAGAAGTGTGGTTGTTTAATAGTAGAGGGTGGTTGTTTTCCTGAGTTTCTGATTCACACTTTTTTTGATGTTCTCAGCTGCCCGCGTTTGTAAGGGTAGTTATGCACAGCGCTGTACAGTCAGTCGGCTTCTCACTGCCGTTCTTTAACCAACCACGAATAGTGGTTAAAGAGAAAATAATTGGACGAATTATTGCACCAAGAAACACAGCGATAAACAGAGATGAATGCCGTCCTACCTCTTCCCTTTTGTTCTAAATTAGTTTAGAGTGGAGAGAATATTGAGGGGCCAAGTGATAAGATTTTGAAGTGATGGGGACGAAGTGGGAAGCACGGATACGAAATCTGAATTGATTGTAGAGTGTGAAGTAGAACCTGATTTATCTCCGCAAATGGCCTCGTCTTGTATTTCATATTTGCTAATGAAGCCCACTCGTTTGATTTTAATATTAAACGCGACGCGGGGTTTCTTTGAGGCTGAAATATCATTCAGACATATGATTACAGTATCCTCAACACCATGTCAGATGGGGGCCATGCACCACCATCAAGATGCTTGCACCTGCATATCAGCTTATTACCTATTCATCCCATCCCGTCCTGCTTTTCATCTTCAGCAAATCCCCTTCCTTTTACCTTTAATTCCATGTTATATCCGCATTTCTGATTCAATTGGCGAGCGAGCCACCGATATTCTGATGGAGGCTACGAAGGAGTCAAGTCAAGCGGGTCACAGAATCGAAGGAGGTGAATCTGTCGCGAATAACGGTCTGAAAGATACGCGAAACAATGCATCTGTTGAGAAACCTCCAGACAAGGCTCCCAATACGATCAGTCCAATACGACTCGCTATGAAGGTCAAATCTTGGGGGAAAGATAGCAAAACAGCATCCAGAGTCCCATTTCCTATGAGCGAAAGTGCTGAAGAGGCATTCGAGCCAGCTTCTGAAGTCCAAAGAAGTAGTACCGACAAAAGCATGGACAGAAGGTTGTCGACATACTCCAGAAAGAGAACGGATACAAGAGCCGTCTTACGAGTTCTCGAATCGATAGAACTGCAACTGTCCAAGACAGAAATCGATCAGAAATATAAAGAATATTTAATTGAACGCCGTCGATTGCTCCTGGGTGCAGCTACTCGAAGAACACAGCATCAAATACAGCCAGTACAGGCAGAGAATTTGTGGCAACGTCTAGAAACGATATTCAATACTTTCCACTCCATTGAGAATGACCTCACCGCTGGTCAGGAGGATGTTGGTTATCGTCAACATCTATTTGAGAGAGGGTTGTTGCTCGATGCCATCCCTCCACAATATCTTCAACATTTAGAGAGTATTCGGAAATCTATTTTGATGAGCGACCCTCCTAGCGACCCCTGGATTAAAGAATGTAGCGATCGAAGACTGACGAATTCTAATTATAGTAAGCGCTACCTGATGGAAAGATGGGGTGGCGTGACGTCAGGGAAGGTTGACAAATTAATGAGAGACAGAGCAGACCTGGTCTCCTTTGGCAAGCGAGCATCGATCATAGAATTTTCTAACCGCAGAGGCGTAATATTTCAAGGAATTCCTCCAATCCCACCAAGTCGTATAAGACCGAAAGTTTCCGAGGTAATACAGTCGGACAGTTTATATATAAAACAACGCGCAGGACTTCGCTGGATTCATTTACCGGCGAATAACATGTCCTGGGTCGAAGTAAGACATCGTGGACCCCCCTTTCGAGCAATATTCCTTGGCTGACAATCGAAGAATCTCATGGAAAGTCTATCAAGAAATATTTCAGGCGACGACGAAAGTGGGGACCCCGTCCTTTCCGATTGTGTGCTGAACTACAAGTACTGGTCTGGCGGCCAAAATTCATATAGCGCTTTTTCCAAAGCACCATTCGACCACCAACGAACACCCCACCATGCACGCTTTATGCGACCAATATGCATGGGGCTTCCCACTCACCTTGGAGCCGACGATGACGACGAGAGAACTGACATGGCATTTTTCATGCCCTATCTTCACTGGGAGACGGATGTTGCTCGTCTTCACACTCACTATATCATCAACGACGTAGATACGCAACTTTCAAATCCCAACATATCCAACTTGACAGATGAAGAGATAGCGAGATTGCCTTGTGATATCGAGGAAAAGTTGCTTCGGAAGTACCTCCATCATCCATCCCCGTTACATATTCGACGAACCCTGGATCAAGCATATTACTGAACTCTTCCCAACACACTATTTCGTGATCGCGACCAAGTCGTTTCGAGGTACACGAGAGATGAATTCGACACTACTATGGCAAGCCCACCAGTTTTAATGGTAGATCAGTGTTGGTTATGGGTTATAGGAGGTTTGAAGCCCTTTTCAGTTCTGTCGAAATGCTGACATCTGGTAAGATACCGTAGTGACCTGTTTTCCTAATAGCTGGGCTGAGGACGTCATTCCAAACAATATTGGGGATCCACTTGACTTATTGGAAAAGATCGTTCAAGATTTGAATGAGCGGTCAAAGTATGAAAACATAACTACTTCACAAAAGTTTGCTACTATTATTATCGATCATTGTGCTAGTAACGTGTATGATTTGGGGATGGAAAGTAATAAACAGTCTGATAAATTCCACTTTTTGGAATTATTTTATCGATCCATACGAGAAATGGTAAGAATTTGTTCCCAAAAAACATACAATAACTCACTCTTCAACTGAAGCCACATTCAGAGACTGACTATCTGCCTAGATGGCGGCTCAAACAGACCTTTTCGACAAGTTCTGTAATGATTCAAGTAGGTTTCAAGAAGTTCAACTCTCTATGCAGAAGGTGCGGGAGCCAAATACACCTGGTACACCTGGTGATATAACAGACCCTGAATTGGAGGAGTTAAAAAAAGAATTGCATGAATTACAGCAACCAAGGACAGGGAGCTTATTTGACATCACTGTGGAAATCACCAAATTAAGAGAGATCATGGACATCCAAGACGAACTACACATGATTGAAGATGTTTTAGAACAGCAGATTAGGGCGATATTGAGGTTAGATGATGTGTTACATTTCAAAAGGGACAACTCCGCCCCTGATCTACTGAGCAAGATTGAGAACCGTAGAGGAATGATTGCTCAGTTGCAAGCTGATGCTCAGCGGCCATACGAAGGGGTAAGCATTGTAACATTTAGTAAGAGAAGATAAAAGTGTCATCGACTAATCCCATGACAGCTCAAAAACAGGCAAACGCTTCTGAGGCACGATCGGGTCGCCAACAGGCTGAACAAGCTACTCTGCAAGCTACTTTGCAAGCGAAGCAGGCAGAGGCTACTACAAGACAAGGGACTTCAATCATGCTTGTAAGTAATTCTTTTCTTAGAGGTAGAATATCAGAAAGCTAACAACAAGGAAAGTTTACCACAGTGACTATCCTATTTGTAAGCTCTTAAGGTATGCAGTATAAGGTGAACCGATCTGACCAGCCCATAGCTCCCGTTATCCACACTCTCTTCCATTTTCGGGCTCAACGCAAAAGATCTCAACGACGGGAACATCGCCATAAGCGTCGTATTTGCCTACATCTGTACGTAAAATTCCCCCTTTCCTGACTTACCTGACCCCCTCTGCAGATACTAACATTAACAAGTCCCTCTGTCATTATTCATAGTAATAATGGCCTTCCTCCTCGTCTTCCATGAAGGCGTCCGCATCTTCTTCACCCTCTACGTCACAAAAGCACTGCAAAAAATCCATACACTATCTGGATTCTCCAAATTCTTCCATGCCGATCGTGTCTCGAAATGGAAAGAGAAATTAGAAGAGATGAGGAATGAGGAGGCAGCACCATCCGGCAGAAGCGAGACATAGGGAAGTGAAATCGAAGACGACGACTCTTCTGTAGTATTTTCGGGGAGCCAAATTGCTAGGAGAGGTGGTCACTGGACAGCTAAGTGGAGATCTTTGCGTTTTCGCCTGCGGTAGAGAGCGTATGAAGGCAGGAGAACTTTATTGGTGTCAAGTTTTGCAACTGAGCCGACCCAGTCGAGGAGGTCTTTGATGGTCGATTAATACGAAACATAGTTTCTACGATGAGTAGAGGTTGAAGAGACAAGAGATGCATATTCAAATTAAGAAAGCTTCGATAATTGATATTTGTCGGCCTCTTGGTTCATCATTATGGAAATATTCTCTTTTGGAAATGTGCCTGGGAGAGGTCCATTTGACAGAGTTTAGCGAGCATGTACAGTACTCGAGTATACACTATACAGTAGCAAGAAATGCCACCACAGAAACAAACACTACATCAAATGGTACGTGCTACGACTCGTTTTAAACACCCAAACTGTTAAAATCCTAAGGCCCCCTTAAAGAGGGGTTCCAATACTAAACCATCGGCTAAATGAAAATAAGCGCTCACTCGTCAGACTTGAATTTTGAACCATTCTCCCAATGACGGTTTGAGCGTGTAATATCGTCATGAGAAGTAATGTTTCTAAGGAAATGAAGAGAGCGAATTCTTGTATTTTCAAGCCATCTAAAATGACAATCTCACTTTAACGAACACCTGCGGAAAGAAAGAGTTGCACTAAATCCGACCCTTAAGGACCCGCCTGCAAAAGCTTACAGATGTGTTTCTCCACCTCCTCCATCATCCAACTCCAAAGCTTCCTCTTCCAAAATCCTTAGACCCTCACGTGGATTACACTCGTCAAAAAAGTCCTCCCCATAACGCTCTATTCGAAGTCTCACACACTCTCTCATGAGTTTCAAGGCTTCCTGGTTACTGCCTAGTCTTTTCAAAGTATTCGCTAAATTGTTCATAGCTGTTAGAGTGTCCGTATGATCTTTACCCAGAACTCTCTGTCGTCCTTCCAAAGTTTCCAATGCAAGTTTTTTTGCTTCCTGGTATCTTCCTTGACCCCTATAAATACTCGCTAAATTATTCATATCAAGTAACGTAGCCGGGGAGTCGTTTCCAAATAGTAGTTTACTCGATTTAAGGACTTCAGTCTGTATTTTCTCGGCATCCTCATATTTGCTTTGCGCTGAATATGTCGTCGCGAGGTTTCCCATGGCTTTCAGTGTTTCTGGGTCCTCTAGCCCAAAGTTTTTCTTCCTGATATGAAGGACTCCCAACTGAAGCTTTTCTGCATCTTGGTATTGGCCTTGATTTTTGTATGTGAGGGCGAGGTTATTCATGCACGCCAATGTGCGAGGATGCTCCGGATCTAGAGAGCGTTTACATATCTCCAAGGCTTCAGCTTGAAGCTTCTTGGCATCCTTGAATCGTCCTCGACGTCCATATAAGCTAGCAACCGCAAGCATGGTGCGAAGAGTTTTGGTTTCTCCTGGTCCCAGCTTTGTTTTACGTTCTAAGACTTTCGACTGGAGCTCTTGCGCTTTCTGGTACTGTCCCTGTTGTTCATATAATTTTCCGAGATTGTACATAGCTGAAAGTGTTGAAGGATTCTCTAGACCGTATACCCTCTCTTTGACTTGTAGTACCGCTGTATAATGTGCCTCGGCCTCTTTATATTTTCCTTGCTGGTATTGCGTGAGAGCGAGAATACTTTTACTATTAAGAGTATGATAATGATCACAGCCTAATATTTTCTCTCGTGCTTTAACAACTTCCAAGGCGATTCTTTCTGCCTCTTTATGTCTGCCCTGAACGTAAAGTGTAAGTGCAACGCTGTCCTGTAATTCGCACCTCGATGGAACAATATCACTGGAAACCCCAACTTCATCGATACTCAAAACTGATAATGCATGTGGCAAAAGTTCAAGACAAGTTTTCCTTTTTTCATTCTCGAGATCCTTGTATGGAAAAATGTACTGGAGTACAAGAATGGCACGTCCCAGCCACGGGGCGGATTGCTTCTCTTGTTGTAGCCATTTCCTGGTGACCAACTGAATCAAACGATGAATGGTGAGAGACTTGTCTGGGCCTTCTGTGACGAATGAAAATGCCTTGAGAACGCCGATGGCTTTGGTGATGTGGGGAGTGGACAGCGCCTTTGTTTGATCAAAACTGGAGTGTCGGTTCTTCAGATCTCCTTCTTTCAATAAACAGGATTGGAGAAGGTCCTACAGCTTTATCGTTAGTCCGACTGTTATCTGAGAGTTTATGGGCTGGAAGATTGATTCAAAATACACGCGAAGAAATTTCGATCATCTTACTACCCTTAGATGAACTGTGTGAAGGCTTTGGGTTCGTAGACTAACCTTTTGGATGCCTTGACGGTCAAACCAGCATATAGTAGAGAGGACTGTGCTTGCCTCGGGAGTCTTCTTTTGAATTTGCTTGAAGGACACAATCCAGGTGGCAGCAACAGCAATCGGAACACCGGAGTCTCTGCCCTCAGGAACATAAGGCTCGCTGAGCAGTTCTACCATGGAATCTTCGCTTTCATCTAGAATCTCAAGATACTCAGCGATGTCTATTGAATTCACTACAATGTATGCTGAAGCTTGGGCTAACGCGAGAGGAATATGATGGAGGCGCTTGGCTAAAAGATCGACAATCTCATTCTCCTGGGCCGAATCCAGGCTTTCAGTCTTTGCACAAATCAGCCGGCGTGGTTCTTCTGGATCCATTTCTGCTATTTTGATCATGCTCCGGCTACGATTTGTGGTAATTTTGGTGCCAGTTGCTTTATCTCTTGTGGTAACTAGCAGTGAACCATGTGAGCAATCCGGGACATGTTGTCTCAAACTACCAGAAATAAGTGGTTGTGCATTGTCAGATGGCTGAGCTTTGGTGGACTGTGAATCAAAGAAGATTTCCGCGTCATCAGCGTTGTCCAAGACCATAAGCCAGCTACCATTTTCTGATCTTGCGAGCCAGGATTTTACTAAAAGCAAAATATCTGCGCTTGGGTCGTCTCTTCCGGGAATCTGAAGTTCTTTGGCGATATCTGTAAAGGCCTGCGTGAAACGATCATGACTGCTCGCGTGAATCCAAAATATTGACTGCTGTGCGAACTCCTTTTTTGACCTGTAGACATAGTCTATGGCGATTTGGGTTTTCCTGGTGTGAGTCAGTTAACGAGTCTTCAAATCTTGCGTTATGACAAGCCCTGATCCGCCCAAGCCATATAGTGCCACAAGAGCTTGAAAGGTATGAACAGAACGCGAGGAAGCACTCACTCCATGTTACAAGATCCAGGGGTCTCTGGCTCAGAGAAGAGCTTGATTCCCTGCGGAAAATGCTTCTTGGACCCTTTCGCTTGCACCTCTGCTGGTACTGCTGGCTTTCTCGAGGATGACGAGCGTGACTGATCACTGTTTCCGTCGTCTTCGACATATCTGTCGTTTCTAGCCTTCTTCGAACTGAACATTGTTGAATAGGTGAGATGAGCCGGCAACAATAATCAAGTCTTCGTATATACTGCAAGCAAAATGTCCTGAGGGACTCAACTTGTGAAGAGGTTTGAAGATTACAGAAGAAAGGCTCCTTCTTCCATGAAAAGCAATTATCGGTCGTTAGCATCAGCTCCCAGCCCCCTCCCGTCTCCTCATGTCGTGTAACCATTCTGCCACGCAAAATCCCCAGGAGGAGCAATAATAGGCTCATTATAAAAAAGGGTTTAGACACGACAGGCAAGATAGAAAACAAAAGGCTTTCAATAAACGGGAAATTCCGAACCCGTACTTCTAAGTACAGCCCCTTCACTTAATTAGCAAGACCTTTTTGTGCCCTTTTGTACGTTTTAGTAGCTTGTTTATTTCTTCATCACTACTGTTATATTAATGAACTAGGCACTTTTCAGCTTCATGCTTCGATTATTGTGCCTTACATTGGGGTTAGGGATAAAAGGCAGAAAAGTGGCTTACCTATGTGCCTAGGACGAAAAGTGCCACAGTTACACAAACCCCTTTTTTCTTGCTAATCAAGTGAAGGGGCTGTATTCGAGTGACGGCAGAATTACAAAAACAAACTACTGAATTGCATAAACCCGTATAAAAAGGTCTAGACTCGCATAAAAGGATATCGTGGCTTTTGGGAAGGGGCTGTACGAAAAAAAAGTAAGAGGGAAAAAGTCTCTGAACATACAGTATCGAGAATTCCGAACACTTCCTTCCAATCAGAGCAAGAGGCTCAGGAATTACGCACTCCACAGCATGCCAAGCCAATCTTTCGACATCCATCCAGCTACAAGCCAAGCAAACCAAACAACCCCAACCAGAACAAGACAAGGCAGAACTCTTATGCTCTGACACTCTCACAACATATAGTACAGCCCCTTTTCGTAATTAGGTCACAACAAGGGTTTTATGCAAATGGTGGCACCTTGTGGCACTTTTAAACCTTTTCAATTCATCACTCTCACAACAAACATCAGGCTCAGAGACTAGCTTTCTTCCCGCCTCCAGCCCCAAACAAGAACTCCTTAATATAAGCATTAACCTCGTCAGGCTTCTCCCACAAAGCCCAATGCGAAGTATTAACCTCGCCCTTCGTCAAACTTCGAAAGTGCTTCTCCATTCCGAGTGCCATAGCAGGCGGCAAAGCCACATCCCTGGTTCCACCAATGAACAAGAAGGGCATCTTGAACTTGAAAGTTTCGGGGTCGAAGTTCAATGCTTGGTCTTCTTTGAAGTTGATTTCGCCTGTGCGGTACCACTGGAGGTTTTGTTAGATGAGTATAGAATCGGATGACAATATAGGAGAAAATAGTGCAAGAAAATGAGACGGGAAAATTGGACAAAAAGGAAAACTGGATAAGAAGACGAATTAGAAAATGTAACACCCAAAAACTTACATTCGTAGGACCATGCATCCCATTATTCAAAAACCTCTCAACATAAAAATCCATCTCCCCCTTCGTCAAAAGCGGACTCTCCCCCACTTTCTCCATCTTTTCAAGATAAAACCCCCTCTCAACCCCCATAAGAACCTCCCCCTCCGGCGTCCTCCCCCCATAAAGCCCACTCAAAAACTGCCGAATCTTCTCCGCACCCACAATCTTCGCCTCCAACTCCGGGCGAGAAAACTGAATCTGATACTTAAAATTCGGCAGTCTACTCAGAGGTTTATACTCCGGCTGCGGGGGCAAAAACGGCGTACAAACCGAGAAAACCGCAGAGATCAACTCAGGATAATACATGGCAACACGGTACACGACTGCTCCGCCCCAGTCATGGCCACCGAGGATGATGTGGTGGACGCCGATTTCTTTCGCTAATGCGGCGATGTCGTCCGCGGCTCGTTTAAAGGTGTAAAATTCCGGCTCTGCGGGGGCGGCGGTTCCTCCGTAGCCCATCATGTCTGGGGCGACGACTCGGAGACCGAGGGAGGTGAGGAAGGGGATTTGGTACCGCCACCCATAGGAGATGTCTGGGAAGCCGTGGATGAGGAAGATGGTGTCTATGGGTGTGCCTTTTGGCTCAGAGAGAATGTAGGAGTATGTTTTGCCATTGAGGGTCGTTGTTTTGTAGAGGGACCGGACTTCTTCTGGGCTTAGTTTGGAAGTCATTTTGAGATGTTTAGATGTCTCGAGGGGATGGGGTATGAAAGGATGTTAATGGAATACGAAGATGTCTGATGGCGTGAGTTCAAAATATATACTTATGCTTACTACTCTATGGTGGGGTTGTTGCTTGGGTTGTGGAACTTGATATTGTAAAGACCGAGCCGAGGCCCCGCCTTCTGCGGATCTTGCAGGATTCCCCTCAATAGACACAATGATTGAGGTATTTATTTAGGTATTCGGGCATTTATTTTCGGGATGATCGTGCAGTTCAGCGAGGGGTGTACATACACAAGGGGCGGTGTAAGTTGAACAGACGAGAACGATTCCTTGGCAGCTAATTTGGAATACTTGATGAAAATGCACTACAATTCAGATCAACCCACGATCGTCCAACTAAGGATCAGTCAACCCGCTATGAACCAGAGCCATATCTGTAAAAACATCTCCGGTTTGCCTTGAGTACAAAAGAATAAGGATATCAATTGCTCAAATCCGATTGAGCCCCTGTGAATTTCGCTGAAAAGGCCTGTACGCCATATAAGAACCCTCTACAACAAAGCTTGAGGTCATCAAATCAGTAAATAACTGTATCCTCCTCATTCTCCACAACTACTTCACTATTGTGATCATCTGAAGATTGCTTCTGGGAAATGACCTGTGCTTCAGTGTTTTTTGCGGGGTTATCATTAGTAGTATCAATAGCTTTAGAAACGGATGGAGGCTCATGTTGAGGCTCACCCACCGTCTCTGTAGACGTGATGTTAGCTTTGTCTATTATCGAAGACCTTCTCCTTGACAGTTCTGGATGTCGAGCGTAAAAATCTTCTTCTTCTCGCCTGATATTATTTTCTGCTTCGGCAACCTGGGCTTTGATTCGTTCTTCTTCTTGTGGTAACAACTCCCATGGCTTGTAATACTGTATGGTGTTAATACTGGATAATCAGGCGCCTGGGATTTGAGGACTTACCAACTTTGGTTCGGTAGTAGTACATAGGGAGTGTGCCATTGCCAACATATTGGAGTGCCGCGTCTTCATCTATTAAATAATTAACACAAACCAAATTTATTAGAATGGATTTAACCTACCGATGCTTCGTCGTATTTGATTTGCTCGACCTTTCGCGTGGCCAATATACTCTCACGCTTGCGAGCCCTTCGTGTTTCGTCCTCGGCCTTCTGTTGTTTAGCCCTTTCCTGCTGTCTCTTCTCAATCTCCTGTCGTCGTTTCTGCTGGCCATTTGAAGTGCTCTGGCTCAATGTACTTAACAAGCCGCCAAATAATCTCTGTCCTCGTTTCTTTTCTTCTTGGACTCTGCTCTTTCGTCGGTCTTGCGCTGGATCGGATAGCTTTTTCTCTACGGGCTCCTCCAATTTCGGTTTCGGTGATATTTGCGTAGGAGATGTAGCATTAAGCTCTTGAGATATTCGAGGACGTTTGGAAGGTTGCCCGTCGTCTGTTGACTGTCGTCGCTTTATGCTTGGCGACTGGGAAGCTGCTTGATCTGGCTCTGGCACTGACTGCGGCTCCAGATCAGGAAGCACAACGGCTGAGGCTATCGGACTACGCGATTATTAGCAGGCAGCCTATTTTTGGCGAGCAGTGTAGAACTCACCCCATACTTTCCGGCATCATGCAACCACCTCGAACCTCGTAGGATATGGATGCGCCTAGAAAAACAGGGCATACGTGGTGTGTGTTGTAACTGGTATTTGGTGGCTCAGTGGGAGGGGAGTTGGTTTCCCGATTGGGTCGAGTCCACATGTTTATTAAGCCGACGCCACTTTGTAGAAACTTGTGGCGCATGGGTGAAGGAGGTATTGGGTCGCGACTGACGAGCTTTTGATATCTTCAACCTTGATAACCTCAACACCAACCTGCTCAGAGTCTTTTCGCATTTTTCGCTTCCTCGACGACTTCAGAAGCTCATATCTTTGAAATCCAAAGCTTGCCATAAGCCTTCACCATGTCTCGCCATCATCCGTAAGTCCTATCATCACACTCCCTATGCCCTGGGAGCTTTCTCTACTATCCTAGCCCTTCTCTCGCATCTGTTGCTAACATTCTATCCAGAGATCTTGTTATGTGCCGAAAGCAATCCGGCATCGCCATCGGACGTCTCTGCGACAAATGCGACGGCAAATGTCCTGTATGCGATTCCTACGTCCGCCCTACCACCCTCGTTCGAATCTGCGACGAGTGCAGTTTTGGCAACTATCAAAACAAGTGTGTGGTCTGCGGTGGAGAGGTATGTGCCATTCTATTCTGCTACAGAAGATTATACTGAAATTTCTAAAGGGTATCTCGGATGCTTTCTACTGCTTTGAATGCACGCGATTAGAGAAGGATAGGGATGGATGTCCAAAGATTATAAATCTGGGTTCTTCGAGGACGGATCTGTTCTACCAGAAAAAGAATTTCCGGAATCACTAGCAAGTTTTGCCATAAAGTTCTGTGCGGCTTGGGTCACGACGCGAGGAAAACTTGGAGCGACATTCGAACCTGTGACGCGACCAGCAAACGAATCAAACAATGAGCTTTTGCGGGGTCGTTGATTGGAGTTTTATCATAGGGGATCATGAATGAGACTTCATCTATGGGGGCAATTGAAGCGGAGGGGAGTTACAAACGCGGTGGGAAGGCATGCTAGCTATTTCCCTCGATTTTCATGAGTGGACGGGTACTGATTTTATTGGCAGCCGGAAAATGCAATCAAGTATGATCATACTATCAGAATTCTTTTGCCAAGAAATGGCCAGTTTTGAAACATTCTCAAATCAGACACGAGTTCAGACTACAAAGTAACTATTGCACCTGCATGAATATTATGTGTTTTTCTGATTTTTCCCAGTCGGTCGTTTACGGCTTTCTACGGCTTTATAGCTTCTCTGTTGAGTCCATCCCTATCTTGTCTCATACTTACGAACCTCTCCATCTGTATATTGTAATCCATTTTTCTTGTAATAAATTTCTGGTAAGTTTGCTATACAAGCATCAAGTAAGAAAGAAGTTGACTCGGCCCTTCTCAATCGTTGGATGAGACTTTGAGTAAGCTACTTTGAGCAAAGCCGATGACGTATACCAACTAATCCTGACCCTCAGGTTTGTATCCCAATTCCTTGCTTTGGTTTCTTACATTATTTCTGTACCGCATTACTATATGAACGATGATATTCTAGCTCTAGTTGGCTGATATGACAGGCGACGCAGGTATTTTTACTTAGGTGAGAACCATCATACCTCATCACTGAATCAAGCCCAACTCTCTCGTAAGCCTGGCTTTGTCCACCGCGACCATATAAAACACAATTCCATTATCGTGAACTCGATCAGTCGTTTAGCGGAGATCCTGCTCATATTCGATCCCCTTCATATCTCCTTACTCCATCCTGGATGAGTCTTGAATCATCTTATGGGATTTCATCGCGGTTCCTTGGAAGCTCCCATTTTCTGAAAACTGGCCAAAACCTGGCCACAATACGTTCGGTCAAAATTTTGAGTTCATGACGTCTACAGCGCCAACTCAGAGCTACGAACGGAAGCGACTTTGGCCTCAAAACCACAGTTCTCTAATGTGTCCCAGCAGACAGCTTATGCGGTCTACTCTTAACGAGAGACTCAACAAGTTGAGCTTATTTAAGACAGATCTAGGCAGAGCATATCATTGCAAAGAAAAGACTAGCTCTAGCTACGCTAGTTCTCAGATGTCCTTTACCTGAGCATCTAAACTATGAATCCCGGAAATCACGGAAAGGAGTATACCCTTTCGGGCCTCTTCCCCTCACCGATATCTCAAATCCAAGATTAAGTTGTTCACTTCTCTCCTCTACCCTACTCCGCATCTCGTGGCTTCCTCAGTCGGACACCTTGTACTCCCCTCTCACACTGCATCCCACCCAACCCCTCACCCCTATAAAAACCCCTTCGACTTCCTACTCATATCACTCCCTCTACCTAAACCCGCCGATCCACCTCTCCCTCTCCGTCTCGTCGAAGGCCCCAGATCTCTATGATTAATTCTCAGTTCCGGACCCAGTTCCTCTTCCATTTGCTCGCTTCGCGGGCGTCGACTACCTATTGGGATATCGAAGGGCGAGATTTTCGGTGAGGTTGGGGCGTTAGGGGGTGCTCTGTTATTGGTTTTGTTTACTAGAGATGAGAAGCCGGTTTGTGAGGAAGGGTGCGACGATGGAGTGTTATTTTTGGGCTGATTTGGTGGTAGATTGCGGTTTTCTGGTGTGTAGGGGGGTTTGTGGGTTCGGGGTTTGTTAGTGTTGTTTGTTAGTGTTGTGGTTGCGGTTGTGGTTGTGGTTGTGGTTATTGTAGTGGGGCTGAGTTGGGGGGTTGGATAGCAGCTCGTTTAGTTCAACCGTTGGAAGGATAGGACTGTGACTTCTATCGCCGCCATCGGTGTTGCTCTCCGTGTTCTTCGGCTGCAAATGAGCTTCAGGTCGCAGTTCCGTTGATTTGTCTTGTGGATGGGCGACAAATTGACCTTGTTTGGCGTTTTTGTTCATCGACTTGTTACCCCCTCCCCGTTGCGCTGCATCAAATTTACCTTGTGGCTGGAGAAAGCTAGAACCACTGGCGGCATCACCATTGTTACTCTTGAGCTGAGTACTTGGTGTAGATCGTGGTTTTACTGAGTTGTCTCGTGGTCGAGTGGGATTCTGATCTCGGCTGACAGCATTCTCCTTGTGCCAATCATTGACTCTTTGATGTGCTTCGGCAATGCTATCTTGCAGCTGTGTGAGATTGCGACTTCTGGCACTCTGCTCATCTTGTCCACTTGAAGAGTTAGTGACCTGACTTCCTTGAGGCTTGAAATGAAACCCGTCTTGCAACTTTGCTATCGGGCTTCGAAGCTGCACTCCACCGTCGATATCGGAGGTGATATGACCACTTGGTAGATTCCCAGTCTCATCTGGTGGACTATCAAGAGATATAGGTCTTGCACCGTCTCCAAGTTCCGGAGAGTGTGTAACTACCGATACATCAAAGTGCTCAACTGCTTGGCTTGAGACTTGCGGTCTCGAGTTTTCAGCATGCTCTCGATTCTCAGTTGAGTGCTTGGGTCTTCTAGATGGCAACTGGTTCTCCACAGACTTTGAGTCTTCTCGAGCTCGCTTTTGTGCTTCTGCGAAAATTACTGGGACATCGATACCTAGGGCGAAAGCTCCGTCCACTATGTTACAGGCTTGACGTAGGAGGTCGACGTTGACACCCAGATCAGCGGCATGAGCTACTCTGTCGATGGCTTGGATTAAGAGGCTATCGTGGATGTTTATTGTTATGCTTGCTTTGGATATTTGTTTGTTTCCTCCTGACTCACCGTTATTCTGTTGGCTATTCTGTTGAGAAGATTTTGGAGCGACAGTAGCTGCTCCTTTGGTGTGTTTCTGGGCTTGTCCCGTGGCTGCAGTCGTAGTGTCTTGGTTTCTCTCTCCTGCTGCGTTTACGGGAGGGCTATTATCTGTACCCAGAGGATTCTGGTCTTCGATTTCAAAAGACGCCGGTTTGATACCAAGCTTTTGCTTCATCTCTTCCTTATCCCACCTAAGATAGCCTTCCGGTCTAGAAAACTGTTTACCGAAAAGGTACGCAAACCACTCATCACTCTGTCTAGCCAGATACTTCATCGTACAATTCTTAATCGCATCCCTAAAACACATAAGCACATTCCCACCCCAGTTTCATTACCACAAAAGCGCTCACCACTTCGGATCCCTCTGTCTCTCCCCCTCACTAATCCCCCACACCCCCATCGGAAACCCCATCCCCCTCCAAATCTCCATCGCCAATTTCCCACTTAGTGGAAGCGTCCCACGCTGCAGCATCTCCAAAAACGCATATCGATCAACCTCCCACGGATCAAATGGCATATTGAGAGGCGCTCGACGAGTCCGGCAGTAGATCTGCAGTCGAACCGCATGTTCGGCGGAAATGGACTTCGGACAGGTGATGAGGTTGTGCTTGTTGGTATTGCAGAAGGGACAGGCGTCGATGAAACCTTCTACTAGGGGCCCTTCGCAGAGTTCGATGTAGTGCCCTTTGATGCCGCAGTTGCCACAGGTGTTGTCTTGCATTTTGAGGAGTTTTGTGGAGTGTTTGGTTTGTTTGTCCTTGGATTTCATTGGGGAGTTGGGGCTTGGTATGTTTTGGTTTGGAGGTGTGGTGTGGATTTGTTGGTGGTTGTTTTTGTTGTTGTTTTGGGCTGAAGTGTGAGTTTTGTCTGGTATTATTTGTAAGTGTGCCTTCATGTAGGGGTGCCTTCGATATAGAGTCTGGGTTACTTGCCTTGATCAGCATTATTTCCTTTCTTTTTCTTGAACCAGCGCGGCTTGCGAGGAATTATGGGAGGTTGGTTATTGCCTGTGTTTGGTTATAAGTATAGATTCAAATACAACCCGAGGGACTTGCCTTGATCAGCCATGGTTGGTTCTTGTGGAGTGTTTTGGGGTGGTTGGAAATTTCGTTGATTTGGGGATAAGAAGAGTTAGGGTTGGAGGTGTCGGAAGGGGTATATTTGTAGTTTGAAGGGCTGCTTGGAGAGGTTGGCCACCAACTTTGGCTTCGGTATGGTGCTTGGACCCTATACTGTGGCTCTAGGGCTCAACTCGGTTCGATTCAACAATGGCTGATTCACTTGAGTCATTTTGATCTGTTGTTTACAATTTGGGTTGTTTCTTTGAGCTCTATACAAGTTATTGTTGCATGTTACAATGGCTCGGTGAATCTAGTATCTTAAATAGACGACTCCGATGGAGATAGCTGGAGTATTATATCTATTTTTCATTTCAAGTATGTAGTTACTTATTTGCATTCGATTATGAGATTTCAGTAAGCTTATAAGCTGTCTAAAATCCCACAAGTTCTATACCCCAGAACCCAGAAGTTTTCAGAGAGAGACTTGGTTAGAGTCAGCTGATTCCTATAGATATATATACCAAATTAGAAATAGAGTTAAAGGGCTTTATATGGTGAAACTCCTAGGAGTAATACCTAACCAATGTTAGTTTCGATCGAAATTCTTTTCTTAGAAGCCTAATATTCCTTTCAGGTGCCAGAGATTCTGGTGCAGACGTGCGTAAGAAGTGATAATAGGTGAATGCAATAATTAGGTTGAATTATGGCTCATATGCTTAGGAACCTGATCTGATTTACCAAGCGTCTTCGTTTTAAGTGGAAGCTTTTGTGATAGTAGACAATTTTAATCCACTTAGCGTACACGTTTGTTTTTGTACCTCTAGTATTTGGAAGGTGTAAGTGGTCCGACCACGTGCCCATGGCAACAAAAAATCCCCGAACTCACAGTGTCTGAAAAAAAGGTCGCGTCACCGAGCATCTACAAGTATAATTTCATCTGTAAAGGATCGGATTGTAGAAGACGGAGGGGAATTGGGGGACGTTAACGAATGCGCTGAGTGCGAGAAAATCTCAAGAGGGTATTCGCAGTTCTCCTGATCGATTTAAACGAGGCAAATCACGTGATCTGATCGTAGTTGCATTACACGGTGAAGTATATATATCAAGAACTTTGAACCCAATTTTCATTGTTATTTAAATCATTGATGCATTCATAAAGGCGATCTTCAGTGCGTCGCCCAAAGCCTGTACTGAAGATTCAAGAAGAAATCCGATTGTGAGGGCGCTTCATTTTGTAACAACAGACCAGTTGATTGGGTTTAAGGGGCCTGTGGAACAAAGATAACTCCTGCGAATTCTACAGGAAAAGTGCTCTAATTGTCAGTGAAAGTCGGATTTCTTTCGCAATTTTGCATTTTGAGGTAGAAGGGGCTTCACCGCCTTATCCTGAGAGCATCACCGGTTACCTTGCAGGTGGAATCGGGAAGAACTCAAACTAACTCAAATTTGAATCCAACATCTCTAGTGATGTACATGTGTCCTGCACTGTGGACGGCTTCTTGCTACCTACTTAAAAGAGCCGTTGCCCGCTTGACTCCGCCTGCAGTTGCATGGGAACCCAGTTGCATCCGTATGAATCTGCGACCAATCGCAAGATACCAGAGAATTGATACATGATTCGTCAACACATACTGTTGGTATATTGTTGCTTAGGGAGAGTTATAACACCAGAAACGCAAAAATAATTATACCGGGTCCATTCTACTCCCACTTACGTTAAGTCTTACAACTTCTACACAATCTATCAAGATGGGCTCAAATGGAGTTCTCAGAATCCCGATCGTCGATCTTTCTGCTTTCACAAACAATGATGATCCAGAATCTTGCCAGGCAGCAGCAAAAGCATTAGCTGAAAAGGTTCATATAAACGGCAGTGTTGGGATCTCTGGTCATGGCCTAGCCTCGAAGGTACTCGAAGAAGCTTTCGCTGTGACGAAGAAACTCTTTGACCTTCTATACGAAGACAAAATGAAAGCACCACATCCGGATGCAATGGTGCCAAACCGAGGCTACTCGGATATTGGAAGAGAAAAGGGTGCTGCAAAAACGGCCTTGGAGACCGATGATGAGGCAAAGAAAGATGTGTATTTAAACACCTCTGATTACAAGGCAAGAATCGTCTGCTCGGTCGCGTTAATCCCTACTTACAATTGACACGTTTAAAGGAAAGTTATGAAATTGGAAGCGAACAGAATAGTGTTCAATATAACATTTGGCTCCCTGAGGATGTGTTGCCCAATTTCCGGCAATTCACAACCAAATTCTTCTGGGAACTTCACAAGACAGCGAGCATGATCCTCGAAGCTTTGATCATGGGGCTGGACCTGACAGAGGAGGAGGCGGCTACTATTCGAGCCCTACACACGGGTCACGATAACCAGTTGCGATTACTTCACTATCCTTCCATTTCCGCCGAAATGCTTAAGAATGAAACTGTTGGTCGCCTACAAGCACACACAGACTGGAGGTAAGGATCCCTGCAGAAATTCAATGAGATCTTGGTCAGTAATCTGACTGTCAACAGTCTTTTCACTCTTCTTTTCCAGGATAGCAATAGTGGTCTGGAATTTGGCGATCGTGAGACTGGTGATTTCGCATCAGCAATGCCGAAGGAAGGAGTTCTATACATGAACATCGGGGATATGCTTGATCGTGTATCAAACGGCATGTTCACCTTAACCAGATACAACCCTTTTTTGAGAGAAAGACTAATTGAGTTTGTTCAACAGGGGTTTATCCTTCTGGTCTTCATCGAGTTGTTGTTTCTGGAAAAGCCAACGGTGAAGAGACACCTGCTAGATATTCCATACCATACTTTGTTACTCCGACACCTGATGATGTTATTGCGCCTTCGCCTTCTCTCGTGGCTAGACAAGCTAAACAGATCTATGAGGTGGTGACGTTCAATTCCTACTCTGAGCAGATGTTCCAAAGGACCAACGTGTTCGAATGATTATCTGTGCTATTGTAATCCTCAAATCGACGAATTGATCAATACTACCAGTGATTCGTCAATTAGTACGCATGGTGGATTAGACGGTGTTATTTGATCACTTCTAGGATGCGAGTTATTCGTTACTTTTATTAACAAATAAAGTTGGATTTAATTCAAGCACACCCCTCGCCTAAGAAAGTAAATAAAGCAACCCAAAAGAAAGAGTAATTAAAGCACAATCTCTACCCAACAAACACACAAAAAGTGAAGCTATTCCCAGATGCGATTATTTTGCCTCTGGTTTACGTCCGGCACTAACTTTCGCTCCGCCTCGTCCCTTTTTTTGGTGTTTTTACCTGTCTTTTTTGGCTGCTTTTCGTCGTTTTTGCTGTGGTAGTACTCTTGTTAGTCTAGCTATTTTTACACTATCGATAAGTACGAAGTGAAGTATTGGTAAGAACAGTGGTGGTGGGGAAGTAAGAAGGGCTAGGGAACACAGACCCTTATATAAATTTGTATAATATTGTGATGTTTACTTACCATATTCCATTCCTCATTCCACACCCACCACCCCACTCGTTTCACGCCGTAACAAGCCACAACAAAAGCTCATTATGGAATAGATTATCATATTTGTAACGCCCATAATAGTATTCCGCAAATCTATTGTACGGCGAATACAATAGTCTAATTGGTCAAACCGGCAAATCCGGGGTTACCATAGCACATATCGTTGATGTTAATCGTTATTCGGTCTGTCTCCAATTGGTACTTGATATTGATATGTTTATTAGGGGCTGGATGGATTTGATATGAAATAAATGTTGGCTAGAGTTTGATAAGAGTGCATTGGCTGATCCTGAGATCACGCTTTTCGATGTAGTGGATGCATCATTGTAGCTTTCCCTCTACAAATGGGTAGCAAAGTAGAACAGTACTATTGAGCACATTATCCGCAAATAGATACACGACCTTTCCACACTCATGTTCTTTCTATTCTTCCATTGCGTGATCTTCATCACCTCAAAGTACTAACACACCCTGAGCTGAATTGCGGCCATGCTCCCTTCCAGTCTTGTGTAGCTTCCATCCTTTCAAGCTGATGTAAACGGCCCGTTAAGTTCATTTGTTGCTGTGGTTCCCTTATTTTTGGGCTTAGGAGGAGGGTAATGAGCCAACTCGATGTCTATATCGCCGTCTGAACGTCGTCCACTCCCGTGATTCTCGGCGACGGCAAGTTCTCTATTGACTTTTCGAGATTCGATCGAACTCCGAGAAATATTGGAAGATGCCTCATTAAATCCTTCCACCATGGTTTGTACGCCTTTGACTTTGATCGCTCCTGACAGAGAGGGGAGGCAGACGGCAGTAAGAGCAAAACAAGCTTCGTTGTATAGAAAATAGAGAGCGGTTGTTGTAACGACTAGTTGAAAATATGAGTTGCTAGTCTGCATTTGTTCGAAACAGACTTGACTTACAATCCTGATCTGCCGATGCTGCAAACTGAGCTGTATTGAGTTAGTCAGTAGAGTCTAATTGAAGGATTTTCTAGGACCAAACGACATACCATCCAAGCCTTGTAAAATGATTACAAGACGCACAACGGAAGCGATAAAGGAGCTATATTAGGTTAGTCTTTGCTATCAGCTCTACATATCTGTATGACTGACATGGCTCCTAGAAAGAATATAACCATAACAGCGAATTTGTTTGATCTAGACAATTGCAACTTCAAAACCTACTTTTGTCAGTAACCCGGTTATTAGAGAACGGCTCATCCCAGATAACTCACCAGTGGAACGGGAAACAATAGGATTATGATATCCATGAGCACATCTGAGATAGCAAGGGATTGTTGAATTTTGACTAAATCAGCCGGACATTTCAGCTGATTCTCGACACTCGTCCAGAAATAATAGAAATTAGTGCCGCAGGCAAACATTAATGCGAAGAAATTCCCAATTCCCCAAATGAGAATTAGAGCACTGAGTATCCAGATGAGAGTTGACACAATTCTATCGGCGCCTTTGGCGAAAATACGTTAGTAGAAAAAAACGCAGCTCAGTTTGATGAAAGTCAATGCTGCAGTACTCAGAAGAACACTGGCAAAATAAGCCTATCAGGACTGTCAGTTCGTCACTATGATTATACGTAAAAGAAAAGTACCTTCCGCGTTATGGTTTGCAAATTATTTACAGCAGTTAGCTCTGTTCCCAGTGCCAACTTTAGTGTAGGATATCCCAGAGCCTTTTGTGCGGTTCCCGCGAGAAGCGTCACCGTCAATCCGATAACTAGAAGCTTCAAGAATATATGTTAGCTTTTGTCGCTAGCATTAAGATTGCTCACTCACCAGTCCTGGTAAAATCAACCAATCGTCGGGGCCAATTTTTACTCTTTGGGCTGTTCTTCTCGCAAAACGAGCCCACACAACGGCGATACAAACAATTGGCCATATTACTGCCGCAGAATATAGTAATCCTGGACTAATATGTATAGCCAAAAAATTGGCCATAGTTTATGATAGTATGAATTGAGGCGTACAATCAGGTTTGATTAGTCTCTTGTACTTCAGTATTTGAAAACGAGATAAACGGTCAGTACTTACGGTTACTATATGTTTTCTCCCACGGCATCGCGACATGATTCTAGGAAGGTGATTTACTGCATGCGTGCTGCGTAGCATTTACACCAACCGGTTGGCACCCGCGATCCTATCAAAATCTACACAGGGCGAACTTTACAAGCATGCATATGTATGCATGTTATACACCAACAGACCAACAGAGGGGTAGTTAGATAACGGTCAATTACTGGGGCACCATTATAAGCGGGGACTCACGCGCGCTTATTGTACGGCTGGTTTGTTTACCATATGCATCTACCGAATGCCGAGGGGACACTCCCGAGACTTCTATTGTAATGATGTCCCCTGGATAGGAGAAGAAAATGTGTAATGCCCAAATGATCTAAATGTATCTACAAACAAGAAGACCGTCGAAATTCGCATGGCTTTTGTTGTGATATCCGCACTCCAGCCAGACTAGCGAGACTGGATGTTATGGATCACGTGATACCATATATCTCAGAAAAACACAACACCACTGTCATTGGAGAAAAATATGGACACAATTCAGACACGCACCACTTTATTGGTGCTTAGTGCCAACCTCATTACTGCTCTCGCTACAGGGGGTAGACCTTAGAATCTCTATATAAAGGTTTATATTTTTGGACTGATATAGATAGGGGACGAGCACAAGAAAATAAAAGCGTTGGTACGATGGATCAAGTGATATCTATATAGAGGAATCTCACAGGATTTATCGCTCCTTTGCCACCACATTCCTCTCACCACTTCTAGTTCAAATAACAGCGTCAGTATACAGTAAGATCTCAACCTTCACAATCCAAAGTATCCCTCCTCACATCCTTCCCCTTGTCCTTGTCCAACTTCCAACTCCAAAAAGTCCCATACCTCCTCTCGCCCACCTTACTACCCCTCTCTACAGTCCCCCCAACAACCCTCCCCCGAACCTGCTCCCCCATCCCCTTCAAATCATAGTTCCTCATCAGACAAGCCAGCAGTAACACCGGCACACAAACACAAATGGCAATAATCAGCAAATTATGCATCGTCTCCTGATACGCCCTATTAACCGCATCTCTTGCCGGGGAACCAACAGGGTAGATGAGCGCATTATTGATATTATTATATATCGCCGACGCATTTACTTTATTCGCCTCGGGGAGATACTCCGCTAACTTCACAGGAATATTCTTTCCCCAGACCGCGCCAGAAATTGCAGATCCAACGGCCCCGCCGATTTCAACGCAGGTGAGGTATACGGCTGTGGCAATGGCAACGTGTTGGTGGTTGGTTGAGGCCTGGACTCCTAGTTGGGCGGGGACGTTGAGCATTCCTCCACCGATGCCTACTACAATTTGGGTTCCTACTATTGCACCTGTGGAGGCTCCAATAGAGCGGTATTGGATCATTAGACCGATTCCTACGAGGTAGATTATGGAGCCAAGGACGACGAAGGGTTGGTAGATGCCGGTGTACTTTATGACCAAGGAGATGACTATTGAGGCTGCTGTTGAAGTGAAAGAGAAAGTTTGAGTGATGTGGCCGGCAGCTGTCACTGATTTATTTTGTACGACAAGGAGGTAGGAGTAGAAGTATGGTTGAACGGAGAGGTAGAACACCACTGCGATATGTCAGACCGGTAGTCAATAGATATTGGTAACTTACTGAAATAGAAGAACCCGAGACCGCATCCTGCACAAAATGTTCGGTTGAATAAGTGGAGTGGTATAAGTGGCCTTGGAGCAGCCCTTTTCCAGGATTCCCACAGCGGGAAAATGACCAGTAAGACGAACCCAATGACAAGCATAGCAATTATTCCTCCATCATGCCATCCGCCTTTCGTTTTAGATGCAAGAGTCAGAGGAATTAAGATCAGAGAAAATGCTCCACCGAGTAGAACAATCCCTCCAACATCCAGTTCGAACCAAACAGTCTTGAGCGCTTTCAAAACTCTCATCCCTTTGAATTGAGAAGAAGATGTCAAGCCAAGTCTTTTCGCTTTTTGATTATTGCTGAATAATGTCAAAGCCAGAGGCAGAAACAATGCAGGCAGTATGATACACCACATACCGTATCCCCATCTCCAGGTAGTAGTTTTGAGGATATCATTACCAATGATAGATCCAATCCAGACTGTAATGAGAAAGGGAACATCTGGTAAGCTAGACCACAGTGCTCTGTTCAGAAGATTACTTGTATCTGCAATCAAGATCTGTGTGAGGATTTGAATTCCAGTGTTACCAGCCGAATAAAATATTTGGGCTGCAGCAAACGTCTGGACGTTGGAAGAGGTGGCCATTTGAATGTATCCGAGGACATAGAGCAAAATACTGAATGTAAAGGCTTGGAGACGACCAAATACATCTGCAACCTTTGCCATTGGGGATTTAATAACAGCTTCAAATGTTAGCTTCATGTCAAAATCACATGATGAAGGTCACACATGCCATTGACAACACCTTGCACAACATAAACAGTAGAGATCAAAGAATGATTGTTGAAGGAACTGGTTGCAAAAACAGAGAGCGACTGTACGACCTGTCCCTCTAAGGATACCGAGAAAGCAATCAGAAAAATACTGTGAAACATTAGTAAGCGTGAAAGCTTTAACAAGATCGGACAACGCGTCTTGCCTACCTAGCATATGCTGCGATCAACCCCCATTTCGACCATATCATAGATACAGCTTCAATATTCTTCACTCCCTCTTGTAGACTGTGATCCGAAATTCGTCTCCCTGTGGAGTTGCCTTCCACATCTTGACTCGCCATTTCGTCCATGGTGATAATCTTATCAGATCCGACGTCATGTTGAGGTTTTGAGAGCACTGGCTCTTCAGAGTGAATATCATCCATATTTCTAATACCCTGAGAAGAAATGATTGGAAATTAGAAGAAAGGCAGAATTGAGTGAAGCTATGAAAAGGATATCTGCAGATCTGATAAGAAAGATCACAAACTTGACACAAGAATCCTGCGCTACCAAACCAACCAATATGAGGAGCGAGTCTCTATCTCACCTAGTACGACGGCTATGGCTTGTCATGGGGCACTAAAATCGGGTCAGCGTGGGATTGTACTACAATTTGCGTTTCTATTTTTTTTAAAAAATAACAAGACATTTAGGGAGAGTAAGACACGTATATAAAATATATGTAAGCAGGAACGATGCGCATGTGCTAGTGAACGAGGTAAACTGGAGCTGAGGGAATAATGGTTGGAGATTCCAAGTTCGCATTTGAGGTTGGGTGTGTATCTAACAATATGTGGCTGTGTTTATAGCCGAGGGTCGCTTGTAAGTCAGGGAGGCTCGGGAGGTCATGTCACCTCTAAACTTACACCTCTCTTTTTGGGAACTCTTCATGTCCTAGGATTTTATTTTCACTAGAAATTGGGTATCTCTGACTTTGAAACCCTGAGCTCTTGGGCTGTGAGAACTTTACTACCCTTCATCTGACTTCTATTGAGCGTTGATTTACCTTAGAAAATTTGTCCTCGGGAACTAGCATCAGATTTTGGATCGCTAACCCAAGATTCAGCGTGATCATCGTTAGCGAAACCCGAACAGGTCCCCTTGATCCATTCTACAGCTAACTTCTTCAATAACCCACCCGAAAGAACATATTCACATGGAAATCCTATCAAGAGAGCCTCAAATGTGCTGTCAGGCGGCGTTGTTCGTGTTTGGGGTTTTCATCAGCCACCAACTTGGAAGCTCCCAATCATACATGACACCCTCCACCCTTATTTTATATCACAATGTGATTACAGGCCTTTATAGGAACCCACTTCAACATTCACCCCACTTCTACCAAATGAACTTTCGCATAAGTGCATGCTTGCTAACATGTTTGTGTGCTAACTTTCGCTCTATCTTGTTGAGCTTCAAATTATATCGAAGGTTTTGCTTCTCTGAACCAGTTCCGCATCTTCAGCTATTCTTACAATTCACTCAACCATGGAATTTAGCAGTATAGTAACTACAATGTTATGCATTTTAGCTCTTCACTTTCAGAAAGATAAGAATGGCTCAAAGCAATTACGTGCCTCAACTCTTTTGTTCGCGACCCAATTTCGTGCAGAGCATTCTGCCAGTTTGGCGTATTACATGAGTTTTCCAATATCAATTTATATCCCCTAATCCAATACATGGCTCTCAAATTATCATCATACCGTATCTAGGCAGCTTTTCAACTCTGCGAGGGCAACCAACAACTTTTATACCAAAACAAACTCGAGTTTGGTAATCTTACGTATGAGAGATCCTCCATCTCATAGGGTGTAGAAAGTTCATACCAGCATTCACTAGTTTTTAGCTGAGGCATTTGCCCTTGCCCTAGTCTTATTTTGAACTTTAGCGTCATAGTTAGCGTTACTTTTAGTATTAATAAACACAACGACATGAAAATGTCGTCTACAAGCGAGATTATTCAAACTCAAAGCTCTGCCGTATATAGACTTCCCCTCACCAGAATCTCCCCCTCTTCCTCACCTTCGCTATCAACAATCTTCTTCTCACACTCCTTCCAAACATCACAAGCTCAAAATGCGGTTTATTAGCAAATTGACAACATTAGTTGCTTTCGGAACTGTCTCCACCGCTACTGCCATCCAAAAGCGTGGCCCTACTTGCTCCAACGTCAGCTTCAACGTCAACATCAACGTACTCAACTTCAACCTTACTGGACTAGACCCAAATAACCTGTTGGGTACCTTTGGCTCCTTGCCTAACCCTACCCTCGGTGTTGCAGTCTCTAGTAACTTCCACATTGCTGGTCGGTTCTGCGAACCAGAGGTCGTCAACCCAAGTCGTCAAAATACTCTTCAGTTCCTTGTTCATGGTGCGACATACACCAGAGATTGTAAGTGGCGAATTGGAAAAGTGAAAAGCGAAGGTGACGTCCTGACACAACACGATAGATTGGACTGGTAAAGGCTTTAATGGCGACCAATACTCATGGGTTGACTATGCATCCAAGCAAGGCTACCCTACTCTAGCTATTGATCGTTTAGGCAATGGTGCAAGCGACCATCCTGATCCTATCCTTGTTGTCCAATACCCGGCCCAGACTGAGGTTCTACACAAGGTCTTACAAGCGATCCGATCTGGAGCTGGTAACAGTCTCCCTCGTCAATTCAGCAAGATGTAAGTTTCCTCAAGTTTCATCACGTTGTACATTTTCCTCGGTGCAATACGCATGCTAATGCTTTCACATTGCAGCATCTACGTCGGCCACAGCTACGACTCAATCATTGGCAACGCGTTGACATCAAAATATCCCACCGACGTAGACAGCATAGTCCTCACCGGCTGCAGCAGCGTCTTCTACTACACGAACCAAACCATAGCTGGACTAGCAGTCTTCGCCCCCGCTTCCATCACCGATCCCGCCCGCTTCGGCAACCTCTCACCTGGTTACGTCCAAACCATCAACCTGGACGGAGTCCGCGAAGTCTTCTACCGGGCTCCCAACTAAGATCCAGGGATGGAAGACCTCGACTGGAGGACACGTGGTACACAAACGGTGGGAGAACTAGCTAGTAGCTTCCTCGGTGCCAAAGAGAAATCGCTCTTGTTTGCTGGTCCAGTTTACGTCGTTACTGGACAATATGATTATATCTTCTGCGGAGGAGATTGTAGAACAACAGATACCTCGGGTCCCGTGGCAAATACTAAAGAAAATTATCCTTTGGCTGCTACGCTGGGAAAAGGATTTGATTCGCATATTGTGCAGGGTACTGCGCACTGTTGGCAATTGCATTATGCTGCTCATGATGCTTTTGTTAATGTTCATCAGTGGTTGGAACGCAAGGGTTTCTAGATGATTGAAGTCTTGACTCTCATTTGGATGCTTTGCGAGTTCGAAACGTGAACGCATTATTGCCTTTGGTCATGAGGTATTGGGTGCCTTGGGCTAAAATACAATAGTACGTTGGGGTTTGCGGTGCTCCTCATAACGATATGGAAGGATACGCGAGACGTACTTGTGAAAGAGAAAATTAAGAAGCTTGGATCTTCGACGTTAAGACTCTTAGACGTGCTATCACAGCAAACTGCTCTCTGGTCATGATTCGCATTCCCGCCTGTGTCAAGTCAGAATTAGGCGACAATACGATGCGTTCTATATCCACAGAAACTAAGCCCCAGTCCCTTTTCAAATGAGCTAGAACAAAGGTGAATCCATACCCCATATTTCCTCGTTCTCCAAAAGCCTATAAGTATACCTCAACCCATCACTCTGCTCCCTGCTCCCTACAAACATTTCACTACTGAGCCACCTCACCCACAACCATCTCAAGAAACCCACTAACAGCCATTGCTCAACAAGAAACATACAAGAAACTCACATCCAATTCCCCTCCATCTCAAAACTCCCCAAGTCTCCTTATGAACTTCCCTTCTTTCAAAATTCAAAGTCTCCCCTAAACCCTCTCAAGAAACCTAACATCCCCCTCCACCTTTCCCCCCCAAAAAACACCACTAGACCGCCTTACATCCTACATCTCAAACTCCACACCTCATAACCAACCAACTCATTAATAATGAAACCAACCCCTCCCCTTTCTCAAAAGAACCCAGAAAGCTCTCACTGTGAGGAATACAGGTAATAGAGAAAGCTGATTTCGCAAGGGGGATGATAGAGTTTATCAGTGTAATAATATATTAATGCTAAATCATAAAAAAAACAAGATATCTTCTCTAATTTCCAACCCACCCATCAAAACCAGCCCCTCGCGCCCTTCCTCTTAACCCAAGTGTGAACCCGGGTATAAGCCGAGCGCTCCCCAAAGCTACCCCCAAGCCCTCTGCCCCTCCTCTTTCCCCCTCGCCTCATCACACAAATCCCAAATAGCAATTGCAATGAAGATTACATATCCCATACCCCATATGGGCCGTATCATCCTCAATACCTTATAGAGTAAACACATGAACGCCCCATCACCCCCATGAATCCCACCAAGAAACCAAGAAGACAAATTCTCAGTCTCGAATCTCGCGTTCAGAATCTTCGGAGCATGTTTGTAGACCACCGAGAATATCCAAGTGATGGACGTGAAAGCACGCATGGACCGATCCCCCCCTTCTTTTAAGATAATTGCAAGACGGATGGTTCCCGAGTCCAGGATATAGTCGCCGTTCATATGGATCAGAAATACTGTAGGAAAACGCGAAGTTCAAGTCCATCTAAATTTTATGGTCACACAATTTCATGAATCCCACACGTGTAAGTTTGGTCACATGTTTTTGCAAAATGGAGTGACAACACTGATGCTACAGAGAGTATATGCATTCAAATTACACTCGTTTACTTTATGTACATACATGAAGAAACAGAGAAAGAAATAGTCCGGCAAAGCGTCGCCACACTTACAGTTTACGAGTAGATATCGGAGTTTCGCTTAAGCGGCGACTGTCAACATTTATTCAGAAGACCCCTGGCCTTATATATACTCGGCATCAAGTACCTAGTCTGACTGTCACACTCCATTCCTCAATGAGTAACGTTGCGTTTTGGATTACCACTAGTGAACCACTAAGTCCAAGAGGAAAGTCCGTCCATAGGCGGACTATAGGTTGCGAGGAAGTCACAAATGCAGGCACAGTACGAGTAGGGTAGTCAAGACATTCCAATGGTCTACATGAAAAGTATCCGAAAAAGGGATGCGTAGGTAACATATCAGATTTTGTCGATGTGGGCACGGAAGAACTCACCGAAATGCTTACTTCGTTGGACCTCAAGTACGCTTATACGGATGCATCACAACGACTAGACTGGGGTCGAGCCCCTATATAATGAACATAGCTGAGAAAGGGTTGGAGGTGTTGGCGAATCGCTCCTGCGGTTTGTCAAGGACAATCTGTCACAAGCTGGCAAATAATCAAATTAGCACAAAACGAAATAAAGATGCCCTCACCTGCCGAGAAAAAAAGTTTTTGTTAAACTCTCAGTGTTCTGTCCAGTGTCAATTTGAAATTGTCTTCCACTATTAAATAATTCCACCAGCTTTGTTAGCATTGCCATTTGCCAATTTCCCCAGACCAAAGCAAGAAAGAACCAACATACTGCGCATTTCCATAGAAATACCCCTGACGTCCCACAAAAACCAGACGGATTGCCTCATACGGATGAAGAGAAATCTCCACACAAGCTCTGAGTGCCTCCATATTGCGCCCCCATTCCTTCCCAAACGCCATTTTCTAGGAACCCATCAGAAAATCCCATTCCGTGCTTCCAGAGCCACAGCTCAAAAGCAAACCTTGCCGTGTAAACGCCGTAAAATTCATTGTATGATTATGAGAGCTCCTCCACTCAATTCCCCATGCCTGGTAGCACACACCCGTCGTTTAGGCAACGCTGTCGACTGCTCGTAATGTGTTCATGTCATCCGTTGCCGAATCTGCTCTGTGGGTGTTCCTTATCATGTAGTCCGAGGCTCCAAGTCGGCTACAGCGGAGTCGGGAATAGCAGAGAATTCTTGCCAGTCAAAATCAAATTCGGTTTCCGCCTGCGACAAGATCGATTGTGGGGAGACCGTTTCGCTGAAAAGCCCACTTGTACCTGATGTTGCCTGGATTTGAACTAGCATGTCGAAACTATACTCTGGGAATTCCGTGTTAGCAAACCAATCATTATTGATAGATTGCTCAGTGGCAGCTGGATTGTTGCTATACGAATCCCAATCAAACGAAGATTCCCATGAATCAAGTGCACCAGTGCCAAACAACTGGAAGTCGGACATTGGTAGTGGTTTCTGACAGTTTGAGTCGTTCGGCTTCCACGATGAAACGTCGCCTGCGAGTGGTGATATTTCGGACGGCGACTCGATATCGAAAGAGCTCTCTGGAGACCAAGTTCCAACTGAGGACTCTAGGCTACCCGTATTTTGTGGGGATAATTCTTGCGTCTCACCCATCTTTACCAAGTTCGTAGAGAACTGGTTCCAAAAATGAATCTGTCCACTATCTGCCATGGTCGACATCACCTCGTCCTCTGGGAATAGCAACCAAGGTAACTCTGGAGACCAAGGTTCGCTGCCTGTCACGCTACCTCCATCAAGAACCGTATGCTCGATCTCAGGGGCTGTAGAATGAGCTTCTGGTGCTTGGTTATCTGGAATAGGGTTACTTGCCGTGGAAACGCCAGACACTGCCTCGTCTTCACTGGTCGTGTCGCTAGGACTCGCTCCACACGAGTTTGTTCCTGAAGATGCAGTTTCCATACTCCATTCTTCGATGTCACGATACTTTGACTCAGGCGTGCTCGGAGCAAGCTCTGGTGTTGGTGTCTCTTTCGCAGCCGCGCGTCCACCCTTCTTAATCTGCCTCTTCCTCGCTCTACACTTTCGCTGCGACTCTGCCAGTTGCATGCGACGACGCTCTAATCGTTCCTCCGATGAAAGTTTGAGAGATGGTCTCCCTCTGTTTCCCATGTTTGCTGAGGATCTGTGGGGATTTGGTGAGAGGTACGACGATCGATGGAGGCTGGTCGCAATGGATCTTGAGTGGCGTGATAAATGAATGTGATATTGCGGCTAGCACAGCAACTCTCGTGGCGATTTGTTGGTGATGGATGAGATGCCGCTGTGGTTGTTGGAATCAGGGCTGAAGTTGAAAGGAAGGGCGTGGTCGATGCCTGAAGATGACGGGCTGACTTTGACTTGCTCTTGCACCAATTTGGTTTCTGCAACTGGCAAGGCCGCCCGGAAAATTGTCGGGTATAACAATCAACACGTGATATATATACCCCCTGGACCATGACTCGCTTCGGCATTCACGCCATTCTAGTATTGGTAAGAGGCTTCAGCCATAGCTTAAAATGAAGAGAAGCTCTTCCATCAGCTACTCGGCAAGAGGTTAGTCCTAATATGAAGTTACTGTACGGAATATCTAAGATCAACGCTATTATACCTTTTACCTTAACTTCGTTCTCAGTCATTTGCACTTTTGGTAATAGAGTTAAAATTCTATACGTTTTAAATTAAATTTTGTTAAGCGTAAAGAAGAGCTTGGAATATAGCTTGTTATTCATATAGACTACTAAGGAGAAAAGAAGCTATGTATAGTATTGTAGGTTATAAATATATATATTACAAAAATATATTACAGAACTCCACTTAATTTAAAGAGGGAGCGAATGCTAGAATATATTAACAAATTTGTATTTAACCTGCAACTATTAATCGATATCCAGGCACCGCTATTGTTTCTAGTTAGGTTATGTTATCGGCACTTCATAAAAAGAAACCTCGTATGTCCTATGAAAGGTGTTCTTCTCAGAAGACGAAGAAGAATTTCAATCTCAGTGCAATCTCTATCAAAAGGAACGTCTTCTATCATTATTCATCTACTAACTCATCGCAACTACAACACCCAAAGTCCAAAACACACAAACCCCTACCAAGCACCCCACCCCCACCGTCTAAGCACTCCCTTCCTTCCCTCATCCAAAACTAGAATTCCAATTCCAAAAGCAACGGGTAGGAACCAATACTCAACAGGCACCTCACTAGTTCCCAAAGTTTCCTGCAGCTCTGGGATATACAACCAGAAGAAAGCCATGGCCAAGGAGAATAGGATCGCGGGGAAGATGTAGAGATTCTGTGTGGACTTGTTGAAGCAGGGAGGGTGTTGGAAGATAGAGAGACGACGGGTTCGGAGGGCGAGGAGGGTGAAGAATTGCCTGTGGTAAGTTAGATTATGTATTGATAAAGGGAGGAGGAAGACTTACATAACGACAAGATTGACAAAGTAGATTGAGCTCGCCTCAGCCAGTTTCTCATTAGCGTACTCTTGCGAGATATCCGCAGGCAAAGTCCCATACCCAAACCACAAACTCGCAAACGGAATCCCCTTCCTCTCTAAATACCAATACGACATCGCAAAACTCGTCACCGTCTCCAGCACACCGATAAACCCATATGCCTGTCCAATCAACCTCCAATCCACAAGTCTATCTTTTCCCACCCTCCTCGGTCCCCGCAGCAAAACATCCGCCTCCGGCTCCTCATAAGCGAGCACCGTCGCCGCAACGCAATCCGTAAAACAACAAATGATAATCATCAAGAACGACGAAAGCACCTGCGGAAGTCCAAAGATCACACTCGTCATCACGGGCCAGAACTCGGAAAAAGAGCCCGCGGGGAGGAGATACGCAATCGTCTTTTTGAGGTTGTCGAAGACGACTCTTCCATAGCGGACCGCTTCGACGATCGCGGAGAACGACTCCAACAAGACCATGTCTGCGGCTTCGATCGCGATGTCGGAGCCGGAGCCGAGGGCTATTCCTATGTCTGCTGCTTTCAGTGAGGGGGCGTCGTTTACGCCGTCGCCGGTCATGGCTACGATTTCGGAGCGTTGTTGGAATTCGTGGACGATGCGGAGTTTTTGGGAGGGGGTGGTGCGCGCGAAGACTATTTCGTTGTAGGTTGTCAGGTGGTCCCATTGGTTTTCGTTCAGGGTCATGAGTTCGGGACCGCTTAGGACTATTGAGGTTGTTCTGTCTGGCTCGGGTTCTTCATTGTCGGTGAGGGGTTCTTTGGAGAGTGAGGTTATGGAAGGAGCGTAGGTGCGGGAGAGGGAGGCGATGGTGTGTACGAGGTGTGGTGGGTTAGTTATGATTCCACATTCTGCTGCTATCGCGTGGGCAGTAAGGGCGAAGTCTCCTGTTACCTGAAGTTTCTTCTGTCAAAATTTTGATTCCTGCATCAGAGTAGGGGGAGTACCGTACCATGAATATTCTAATTCCAGCTCCTCTCAGGGTCTCAACGACAGAAGGAATTTCATCTCGTGGCGGATCGACGATGCCTACTATTCCGACTAATGTCAATCCAGTCAGAGCATGATGCATAACCTCGTCCTCAAAAAGCGCAGAAGTTGGGATTTCCCTAATCTGCTCTTTCAGAACTGTCTTCCGGGCCAACAGGATAACACGTTTTCCTTGCGAAGACCATGTATTCTTGATTTCTTCGATTCTGGCAAGTGTGCCTGTGTCAAGAACTTGGCTTTCGCCTAGAGCGGTGGTGTATCTGGTACATCTACCGATCAAAACATCAGGCGCCCCTTTGATGGTTAACAACCTATGAAATGTTAGCAAAATCCTTACTGGGCAAGAGGAAGAGGACGCACATATCATCATTTCTAAAGGTCGCGGCCTCGGTACTAGGTAGCGCAACCTCCAGTCCCTTGTCCTCGGCAAGTTCGAAAGTCCTAATCATATATTTATTTTTGCTATTAAACGCCAATTCAAAAGTTCTCTTCCACATCTGTCTCAATTCAGCAACTGGACCAAGAGACTCGGAGAAACGTAGAACAGCTTGATCGGTAGCATCTCCGTTGATCTTACGTTCAGGAAGAGGAAGGTGATTCGTGGAGACATCAAATTCAGCCGAGTTGCAAAGTCCGGCTATGGCTCGTAGTTGGTCGACGAAGTTGATCCCACCCCCTTCTTTGTGGCGTTGTAGCATTTCGTCGTGGGCGCTTTGGGGGTCTATGCTTTGGAGACCGATTGTGCATTCTGTGACGCACATTTTGTTCTGGCGCTCGTTAGCTAGGTATACAGATTATATGATAGGAGACGAGGATATACCTTTGTAAGTGTACCAGTTTTATCAGAGCAAATAACGCTCACTGAACCCAAAGTCTCGACTGTCTTCAGCGACTTGCAAAGAATCTTATTCTTACGCATAAGATTGGCAGTAATAGTCAAAGACGCAGTCAAAGCAATAGGGAGTCCTTCAGGGATAAACGCGATAGCGACCGACACGCAATCAACGATCAATGTTGGAACATTAATCCAATTTGGATGTTCTTTTCGCAGATAAGCAGCCCTACATGGAATAAATCAGCAATCTGTACTTTGGAGGCCTTTGCTACTTATTCCATACCAAACAATGATGACGATGACTATCATAAGTATCATAATCGAGCAGATTATGATGACAAAGTTCAAGATTTCTTTCTCAAGTGGTGTTAGCCCAGTCTTGGGAGCGTTGGTCATTTTGGCGATTTTCCCAAAGACAGTAGCATCACCCGTCGAAACCACAAGACCCATTCCGGATCCTGAGATACAGTGAGTCCCTTGTAATCCAATGCACTTTGTTTCCAGGTAATTGTCGTCTGTACTATCGACCGTGCCTTGCAAAGGAAGGGATTCGCCTATGACCAAGTCAGCTACTCATACATCTAAAGAACACAAGTGAAGGAATATGCCAAAAGCCTACCAGTAAGAATGGAGCGATCAAACTTCGCATCCGTCGAGATCTCCACAAACCTAACATCAGCACTCAGCTTATTCCCACTCTTCAAGAACAGCACATCACCCGGCACAATCTCACTCCCCAAAACCTCAACCTGGGACCCATCTCTCAGTACCAAACAACTATCCGGCAGCATCGTAGAAATGGATGCCATAACTCTAGACGAAGACCAGTCCTGCCACGCATTGAAAGCCGCCTGTATGAAAAACACGGCTAGGAGCACGATCGCAAGAGCCAGATTGGCCTGTGCGGGTGGTTGTCCTAATGGTTTCCAAGAAATGAAGACGAGGATTGATCCTACGAGGAGGATTGATCCAAAGCCCTTGAAGAAGTAACCAAGTATTTGTTGGAAGAGATGAGTTGGGGGTGGGGATGGGGCGTTCTTGCCATACTCTGTGAGACGTCGCTTAGCTTGCTCGGTTGAGAGACCCTGGGTGGGGGAGCTGGAGAGACGGATGTATGCTTCTGTTGTAGTGATTGTATGCCATTCGAGATTCGCAAATTCTGGAGGACGTAAGTATAATGTCAGGGATGGTATGCGAGTTCGTTGGTCTTTCCTTACCTTTGGCGGCGGAATCCTTGGCTTTTTGTTTATCAGCAGCATCCTTCTCTTTGGACTCTGCAATCTGGAAAGAAACAGTTCTGTATTGAATTGGAAGTACAGAAGCTGGGTCGACTGAACCTCTTCTACTATGGACGCTATTTATGGACATATTCGAAGTTGAACGATGAAGAACTGGGCGTCTGTTGAGATCCCAGCATTAGCTTGTTGCTTGATACAAAATAAAAGTTGTGCAGCGCATCGTCTGAACAATGAGAATTCCAGATTTGATTTCTGCAAGAAAGCACGAAGAATATACCACCAGAAAGGATAGATAACGGAGAGAGACCCAGATTTTGGCGTACCTTGTGCCAGCTGCTTCTACGTCCGCATCAGGGATAAAATGAATCCGGGAAGCAGGTTGCTTCTCATCTTCTGCAAATTCAACCATCTCTACCGTGACAGTTCTTCAACCTGCTACAAGACCTGGCTTCAAGGGGTAGGGAGAAATGGAAGTAAACACAAGGTGGGTAGAAAAGAGGAGAGGAGACAATTTTTGCGAGAAATTCTTGCAAGGGGGCAGGTTTTGCGATTGCAAAGCTTGGGAATTCAAAGGTGAGGGAGAAGAGCGCAAAGCACCACGTTGCCGCAGTCTCGTTGCAAAGGATTGAGAGATGTGGGAGAAGGTCTTGCAGTTCTAATGATCGCTCTTATAATTGCAGCTAAAAGGACCCAGTCATAGACATGTGCTCAACGAGAGCCAGCTATGGCTTAAGCTACCCACTTCACCCGTGACCGTCCAAAGGTTTGGATTAGTTAGGTAGTAGTCTTCCGCAATGGAACTCCAAAATGCTATGTCCGCTTGCGAAATTAGGTAAGGGTGCAAAAATGCCTCACACAAACAAAGAACGAAAGATGTCAGCAGAGGCTGTGCAGCACCAATGCAGCACGCACCTGCATCTTCGAGGTTCCATACCCGGCATACTCACTACCAGTCTACGGGAACGAGATACCAAAATAACAAAGAGAAGATTGGACAGTTCGAGGTTGATGACATCTCTTCCCCCGCATGTTGTTGGATACCGTTGCATCCTGGTCTATCCAGAGGACTACCAAGAATGCATAAATTGATTTCAGAGGGCTACGCCTCTTTCTTGGTATGGGGACTGCGGATCAAGCAATCCTAGGACGTCTTGTGGTGAGTTGTGTTGTTGGTTGAAACTGGTGGTGACTGAGCGCGGTTATCCATATAAAAGGAGATTGTCGTCCAGAAAATGCCTCATAGCGGCTAGCAAATAAAGTTTCACCCACAGTCAACGGCGTCTCTCTAACCATTTGTTGACATATTCACGACCGTTTACCTTGTAACTTAAATCCCTCATGCTATAACTTTCTCATTTTATGGGTAAATTGTCCACTTAGCGCAATACATCTGATGGATCTCTTGAGGTGGTCGGGACCCACTTCTTTTTCGCCTACAGTATGCCCCAATGCACGTGGGCTCAAGGCCTCTCTCCCAGAAATGAAATCTGGGGAAATTCTCAATTGTTAAAGGACATTAAAAGTGGCAGGCAGACTGAAGCTCTTATTGGTCCAACAATTCAGGATGACATAACTTTCAATGTCTGAGAAAGAGGCTCGCAAGCCCCAGCAAGCTTTCCAAAGAGCAGCGTGAAAAGTCGAACATTTATTCTAATACAATGACGACGACCAAGAAGTAAACTTCAAATCTTGGGGTGTATATTGATAATTTCTCGCAGTGGTTATTTTCCCGTTGAAAATATAATGGTACCCTTGAGCAGGATTTTTGTTTTTACATACCAACTTCCAAACCAACCAACCAACCAACTCTGCTCTCTCTCTATGTCTTTCTCCGCCCCATTTCCCCCCAAATAAAAGAAACCATGCGGGAGCCTCAGCCAAGAAAGTGTCCACCAAAGAATGCAAAAACGTATTCTCTACATAGTACATACCGTATACCACAAAAGAAGAAATCCGGTTTTCACTCCTCAAATCCCGCAAAACACTCCTCACCAAATCAAAAACAACAACTTCTCACCTCGTAGAAATCCCTACAAGCTAACCCCAAAGTCCTAACTACCATTGAAAGGTCTCCGGCGAATACTTCCAGCTTTATATCCTGTTACTATAACAACATAATAACAGTCACAATCTCGTTTTTCCCAAAAGGGTCCGGGAGATAGAAGATTTGACATGCTTTTACTAATTATTGGATATGAATATTCTCTTTAATATGAAAATTGGATAAGTACGTAGACCTAGGATTCTTGGTGCCAGGCTCTGAGGACGAGAATGATTGTTGGTTGCATAGTAGTAATAGCGTAGGATAAGATTAGTGTTACATTTATAATTATATTTGTACCATTGTAACGCATTTATGTTCAGAAGTCTATAGATAAACATTTTATAAGGAGTGTAGTAATAGCACACACTGTTAGTTGTAACAGTAGTATGGTACCTACTAAATTACTCTAATCAGCCAAGACACACAGACGGATCTATACTCTAGAATCCTAAACCTGTTCACGATACTCCCGCGACACCTATACTTGGTTAGAAGAGTAAATGGTTTTGGTTTTAGAGATAGTGAGGAAGTAATATTCTCTGTTATTCTAGATAGACTTAGGTACTATAGAGATATCTAGATATGTAACTTACAAATATCCTTTATCTTAGGTGTTCACGTATTACTACCCAAGTAGTTATACACTTGTATAGAAACTCTATATAGTACTTAGTTGGTAAGTAAGTGTTATCTCTGCGGAGTAGGAGGAGTTGGATATATGGTAATAGTAAAAAAGTTGTGGTAGAGTAAACTGTAACTGCATGAGCCAAGCAAGATCTAGTTCCAGCTTTGACTCCCTTCTTCTCTAACATGCCTTGCACTCGAGTAGCCCTGGAACAGGTAGGCATAGTATCACAACGCCCAACTTTGTTTCTGACAATACGAATAGAACATATCATGCGAGATAGAAGAGCATCGAAAACGAATTGAAACGTGTGGTAAAAAATATTATGTCATTCACCCAAGTACTCCCACAAACCATAATAACTTCCAAAGGTGTACGTACAGTAACATGACGCGATGAAGGCAGCCAATCCTCAAGATACCAGCATCTAGGGTAGTGGTTCGAAAGGCGTAGGCACATTCCACCACGCGCCATAGCAGTACCAGCCGCGTTTTGGAACGTCAAACTGTAGTATCCGCGTACTTTTTCATTCCGAGTAAATGGCAGGGTCAAGGACATAGGAGTCACGTCGTGACATTCGAGGGCTGGTGGTGGGAATGCGTCGTGTTAAAGGTGGTTGAATTGGGAGAACCTAGGGCCTTGATGTTGATGCAAACTGGATAATTAGGGCCGTTGAACTAGGAGTTTAGCAGTATACAATTGATGCTGAGGTACCTCGATAGATAATTCATATGAAATGACGGAAGGAAATCGGCTCTCTGTATATATATATGATAGGAGTCAATGTTGATCTCCAGAGGTACACGAACCACGAGGTATCCAGACTTCACTAGTAGCCCACACTCGTATGCACTCGACTACGAGGAGATAGTATACGAGATACATTGAATGTGATACAATCGAGCCAGAGGCCCAGCCTTTGTGGATAAGGCCATATGGTTTGAGGTTGACGCTGGCGTTGAGTTTGATAATTGGCGATTTGTGTAAATGAAGCGCAGTCGCGGGCGCGTGGAGTTCTCGCGGCATAACAGCCCGTCTCCTCTCCCCAACGCTAGCGTTGATTCTAATCAAGCACCTGCAAGTCAGATCTCGGCTAAAACGCAACTGGACTGGGTTGCGCCTGCCGAAACGCAACGCAACTTTGATTCTCCGTCCTAAACAGGCTTAGCGTGGCACTTTGATTCCTCATGATTTGGAGCGCTCCAACGAGTACTTTATTCCAGCGTATCTCCCGTTATCCAAACTCCTCCCAAACCACTCAACCATCGCCACAACATCCACAACTTTTATCAACATCTATCAACCAAGGCGTTGATCCATCTCCAAAACACCTCTTACATCAACACAACCTCATTTCAATATGACTGGACGTAAGTAACATCCTCTTTCTCGCTCTCGCATCGCGATATTTGCGATTTGTTGTCGTCGCGGTGGTTTTGGTCGGTCGCAAAGTTGGGGATAGTTGCAAACGCGCTATTCACTTATCACCATCGCAATCCACCACCTCGGCTTCAACACAACACCATCACAGTCTCCCGCATTTATTCCGATCAATGCTAACATACTTTCATTACAGGCGGAAAGGGAGGCAAGGGACTCGGCAAGGGTGGAGCCAAGCGTCACCGCAAGATTCTTCGTGACAACATCCAAGGTATCACCAAGCCAGCCATCCGTCGTCTCGCGCGTCGTGGTGGTGTCAAGCGTATCTCAGCCATGATCTACGAGGAGACCCGAGGTGTTCTCAAGACGTAAGTACCATAGCAGCACTACAAATCCAATTCAATACTAACAACCAATCAGTTTCCTCGAGGGTGTTATCCGTGATGCCGTCACTTACACTGAACACGCCAAGCGAAAGACTGTCACTTCTCTCGATGTTGTCTACGCTCTCAAGAGACAAGGCCGTACCCTCTACGGTTTCGGTGGTTAAACATCGCCACCTTCTTCACCACCTTCGTCCATTCAAACCTTTCGGCTTCTACCTCGACTTTGGTATTCCGTTCTTGGATGTGTTCCTTGTGCACATGGAACTTTTGATAGTCTCATATTTATATGACGACGGTCTAGTATGCTGTTTACGGCAGGGTTTCGCACATGGCAATCGTCCTCGAACCACACCGCTCTCGACCACGAAATGGTTGCATTCTGGCCCTACCATCAACAAACTTTCGAAACAACAAACCTTTTGATAGTCTCATCTTGCATGTAGACGGTCTAGCAGCTTGTTTACGAGCGGGATTTTTCGAAGACCTGTTGATTATAAGGGTTTCTCGCGCAGGATGTCTATATGCCTTTTGGTCTTTGGTGCTTCACGAACCGTACTTGTATTATTTGATTTTCTTCATGGCGTTTGACACGGTTGGGGTTGGGGAATACACCTCCTGGTCTGGACGAAAGGGCGTCTCAGAGGGAAGGCAAAGGAATATGATATTTTGCGAGACTGGATGAGAAAGTCCGCTGGTATGTTCATAGGAGTAATACGAAAGCAAATGGCTAGGCCTGAATACCCATCATAAAACTGTTTCCTCTCTGATTGTGATTCCCTGTCATGATTTGAAGATCGTATAAACTAAACCACAGCACCCTTTTCTCACTCTGCAAAGGGGTTTCTATCCATCGTTGGCCATAACTCGTTGCTTATCAGTTGCAGAGTCTATGCCCGCCATACCCATTGAATTTACTGCACCTGCCAGGTAGTAGGCATGACTTCTTTCCCTTTGTAAAGTTGTCCTAACCAACAATATGATGTGGTACTAGATACCTACCGCTTTCCCTGCTCTGCTACACAATCCTGCACTTCCACATTACACTTCCAGGAAAGCTGGATGAGGAAGCAACCTTCCAATTACCTGGAAGCTGGACACTCGACTCCTCCCTCTCATAGTAATCGTTTCTCATGTCGTCCGTGATTTGTATCTTATTACTCCTTTCGTTCTCCAGTCTAGTAGTCTTCTTTGTACTTTTGAATTTGGGAATCTGATGGAGCTGCAATATCTATCCTTAGGTAGGTAGATGGTCCGTTTATCTTAACTTGGGTATCATATTAATGTTAATAGACTCCCTCCCTCCCTCTGTTCTTCTTGGGTTTCCATGGATGACCTTTTCGGTGTCTGTTCCCTTTTCTCGTTTTTCCGCGCGGTGTCTCGTCTCCGGGCCAGGCCTTTCGTGGCCTTACCTACTTGCATTTCCACGTTTACTTCCTTTCTCATGATCTGGCCTTGTTGCGATTCTCTACGTCCTTATCTTCTTCGGATTCGCAATTCCCTTCCCCCAACCCCCCATCCCATCTCCCCTTCCTCTCAAACTTCAAACACCCCCAACCAACCAACCCTAACCAGCCCAAGAAACTCACAAATACTTCCTCCCCGCCGCCGCAACACGACCCCTAAACACAGGACTATCAATCCTCATCCCCTGCGTATAAAAAGGATTCATGACCGTCTTTAGCCAATTCTCATAGACTTCGACAAAGAACTGCTTGATCGCCTCCTCGGTCTGGGGACTCGTCGGGTTCGCGGGGATGGACGTGGATGCCCGCGTCGACGTCGTGGAGGGCGTGGTGGGGTGGTGGAGGAGCAGGAATTTGGTGTTGGAGCCGGTGATGAAGGCTGAGATGTAGTTGTTGTAGTAGCGGTCGATTTTTTTGAGATACCTGTTTGTGTTGGTTGAGGGGGTTGTGTGTGAGGGGATGGAAGGAGGAGGGGAGGGGGGAAGGAAGATGTACATTTGACCACCGCCCCATTGCACGTCCTCGACGTTATCTAGGGATGCGTTCACGATGAATTGGTTCATGTGTCTTGCTTGTTCCGGGAAACGGGGGACCCCGTCGCCGCCTGCTTTTGCGGTCCCGAATTCGTATTCGAAGATTGGGTTGTCGGATGTTCCTATTATGGCGAAGTAGTAGGACATGTTTATCTTTTCTTGTACAAGTAGGTATGGGGTGGATGGTAGAGTGTGGGCCGTTGTTGCTCTTGCTGTTGTTGGATATGCGGAAGTAGTTTTGAGATGATGGAGGGTGTGGTGTGAGTCCAGATGGAGAGGGTCTGGTTTGGGTGTTGGGAGTGTTGTGTTGTGTAGATGAGGTAAGTGAGGGAAAGGTGTTAAGGCTGACGGAAATGGGGTACATGGTGAAGTTCGACGTCAGCCTTGTGGCGACAGGGATTATCATTGGTCACATCAATATACCTTGGCAAAGAAATCTCCAGGACCTCACAACCTCACAACCTCGTCCAAAGCCCCAAATCCCAACTCCTCCCCAAATCAGTATGTTCGGCGCATTCAGACCAACCTCCTCCCTATACGGAGGTCTCCTCTGGTACCTTCCCCTCATTCCCTCCATTCCCACATCACCCATTTCCCACTTCTTCCATCTCCTAACAACCCCAGGAAAATCCCCTGGCGTCTCTCGAAATTCCAAAAACAGCGTCAGCGTAAGCGTCTCCGCGCCGTCGACACCGTCGTCGCAACCCTCGATAAAGCCTTGGGCAAACAGGGCATCACGACTAAAGCGGTGGAGCGGTGGAAGGAGGAGATGCCCATTGAGCAGGTGATGGAGCCGAGGGATAAGTATACGATTTTTGATCGGAAGGAGAAGAAGTATCGGAAGAGTATTAGGAGTGAGTTTTATGTTTTCTTGTTTTTGAGGGGGCGGGGAGGCGGGAGGCGGGGATTGAGGTATGGGAGGAGGGGGTGTG